GGAAAATACATCTCTCGGCACGTTGGTCACGCTATCAATACTACGCGCCGTATCCGGCGAGAATGCGGGTTCTATCGCGCGTCGCGCGGGCGGTGCCTCGCGGAAAAAATGAGCGACGAGATAAATCATCCGGATCGCGCAAGCGAGCGAGCAGGAAGATACAGGCACGTCCGTCTCGGTGAAATTTACTACCAATATTTTTCTTTCTCCGCTCTGAAAACGGGGTCGAATCTACGTGTCGCGTCTCCACCGCCGAACGCGCGCCCCGTAGTCGCGTGGCGGGAGGTACGCCAGGGCACGAATATATCTCTGTACCACACGCCCGCGTGTCCGCAATATTGAGCGAAACAACCCCCGAATCCTCGCAGCAGATTCCATTCAGAGTTCTATCTATATTCCAGCACTGCGACGAAAGATCTGCCAATCTTCTAGAAGCGAAACTCCACCGGAACAGATTTATTCAGATTTAAAGTAACTGTTCCTATTAGCGTATCCTTTGTATTTAAATAAACCTTAAAGAAAACTAACACAAATAAGTGAGAAATAGTATATTTTTTATTAAGTTAAATTTTGTTAACGTATACACCATACAAAGACAATATTATCTTTTTTAACTATTAAAATATAGTAAACATTTTTTGAAAGATACACAATTTAGAGGAATTTATGTGAGTCCAGTAATGCCGTGATGATTTTAAGCTTGTTCCTATTAGTGTATCCTGTATTGGAGCTAAGAGCGTTAGGTAATGAGTGTAAGTATAATTGAAATTGTAAGTATAATTGAAATAATTATTTACGCAATATTGACTTAAACAATTACATGTATTATTTGTTTGACTAACTATATGTTAAAATGAAATCAAATACGGTTAGGCACATAAATTGGGGGCATATTGTAATAGAGCAAAAACAACTGTACTGTTGTTTTTTTTATTTTTATCAAAACCATTATAAAACATTACCATTTTTTAAAATTAAAAAATATAAAAAAAATAAATAGTTGAAAAATCGATATTGATTTCAAGCAGACAAAATTGAAGTCTACAATATTTGATAGTTAATTCAGTAATGAGCAAGTTGGCTTAAAAGCATACTAATAGGGAGAAAGTTACTCTGTATCGCTGTAATTTTAACTCTGTTTAACATTGACTATGCAATGTAGGTCTGCGATGAGAAGATTGAGCATGTGTTCTTGTATAAAGTTATTATTCTATCTACTACTGTTATTATTCTATCTACTAGTGTTATTATTCTATCTACTAGTGCTATTATTCTATTTACTACTGTTATTATTCTATCTACTACTTAAACTGATTGTGAGTTCACATTATTAATTGCTGAATTATGTCCTTGAATATCTATTGTCTATTGATATGCAAGAGGTGTACTAGTGAAGCGATTTCCGGGAGATTAAGGAAAAGCGGTTAGCGTATAATCGAGCTAAGGATTTGCTAGATTGGTGTATTGAATTCCGAACAGCCGATTCGTAGAAAATTGGAAAAGTTGCTTCTTTATTGAGTCGATTCCGGCGCAAGGTGGATATTCAGTCAAGATACGGTAAAAATATTTTATTGGAGAATACAGATAGAAAAACACTGGCAAGCAGAAAGATTCTTAATGTAAGGCAGACGCTCCATTTTTCCATTTTTTTTTCTCTAAATTGTCGCGGTTTTACATGTAATAGTATCGTCGCTAGGATTAAACTCGTTTCGCTTGTTGTTATATCGGGTCATTTTTGCGATCCTAACTTATGCGATCTGAAACTTACGCTCCAGATCTGTATATTGTGTATTTTACATTGCATTGCTTTGCGATAGACCAATAAAGAAATAAGATTATAAAAGAGGAACGCAATTTTCTTGTTACGTTTGTGATAGCTTCCTGTTTACAAGTCGGGACGTTTGACATAAAATCCTGTTATTCTTATAGGTACACGGCTCTGCGATAAGATATAGTACAGATAAGATTTATTCGAGTTATATATCTCTTTTCCAGACTGTCTGACATTTTCTCGTCTATCTTACAGTTTCAGTTTAATACACTATGACATATAAATGAATGTGTGCAAACGGACGATCTTAATACTTTGTCGAGGACCAAGTCAACACTGCGGCGCGCAGTGTTGCGAAACACATCGGCCTGGATGAACTCGCAAGTTCATAAAGTTCTAACGAGGTTCACGGTGGTTCACCTCTCAAGAGGACCGTATGCTGAGAGGACCCCCTCCTCCCCTCTCTCTCTTTCTCTCACAAACTACGTTAGGAACTGTTGAAGTTCGATGAAGGACCCACCGCATATTTGTACGACGGATACTTAAAGTGTTTCATTACCTCTATTAATCCTGCCCTCCTTGTTTTCCTACTTTTTATAAAAAAACGCTCAATATAAAACTGCCACAAGTTTTATTTCGTGAACGAAGAAATAATTAGGCCAAGTCCGCCAAGTTTGTCGAGCAAACTTATCGGCTATTGAAAAATTCTCATTAATAAAGTGCGACATCAAAGTTTTATACGCGTTAATTATTTTTAAATAATAAATAAATGTGGTACGTATAAATTTTTTAAAGCAATTTGAAAATTGAATAAATTTGAAATTTATAAGAAGCATTTGAAGTGGCGGACTGCATTTTAGATGCACGAAAAGTCTTGTGTTGTTGGTCCTTTTTATTCCTATCTTTTTTTTTTCGTCATGAGAGGCGAGCGAGTTTAATCTAGCGAGTGGCGAATCTTCCGCGACCCCTATTAGCGAGCGTCTCATCTGGAATCGACGATGGCGCTTAGTACCACCTCATAAATTTCTGATTTTACGAACGCGCATTATATTCGCCGGCGAAAAAGAGTTCGATCGGTCCGGCGCGAAAAAGCACGGTAAAACTTTTCCTCGCGCGTCGCTTGCATTATGAAACTTGACCAACTTCGCGAAACGAGCCAAACCACTATTGCTCGCGCCGCGTACGGAATATGCGCTGGAAAGAACGTCCGAGTTTTCGCATTTACGAGGCGCGATTAAGTATTTTATGGGTCCCATCAATTTTCGAATCTTATAGCACACATACGGGATTAAGAATCGGATCGTGAGTGTCGAGTTGAGAAGCCAATTGCGAATCTGCTGCATTTTAACTATCGCGAATTATTTTCGCCTCGATATAGAGCAAATGAAGAATCAGAAAAATACTCTGTTAGATATGAAAAAAGCAATGAATTCGGTAGCCGAATTCTTTAAATTTAATAACATTTTGTTATTTTTAACTAACATATGTGTGTCAAAATGTCAATTAATCCATTTCTGTGGTTAATTTTTACTAAACAAAGTAAACATAGGCCACATTAACACATATTTAGTAAATAATAATAAATTAAATTTTAGTTAAATGTAATAGTTTCTAAATTTGAATCAGTGAATAATTATTGACATCAGTTCTTACTATGCCGCTGGTAATCGATGAATTGGCTGCGTTCAGAAGAAAAAGCAGCTTTGCATCTGTTGTAAACTTCCTTAATATGATTGGTTTTGTCCTTAATTTCTCACTTGATCTAAACGTATAAACCAATAATATTCAAAAATTTTACAATAGTTGCAAAGTTGCTTTTTCTATTGAACGCAGCCAATGAAACGTGGAATCTCTTGTTTGAAAATTGAAACTGGCATACAAAAATATTGATATTTTAATTATAAAATGTTTACATTTTTTTAGTAGTTTGAATTTCATTTATTAGCTATTCTCGTTAGGTAATCAATGATCACCCACTAATTCAGATTTAGGAAATACATTTTCTTAAGTTAAGTTAAATTGTTAATTTAATTCTATTGTTTTACTTAAATTAACGACATATCGAGTAGGAGTAGTGGCAAGCTATAGAAATAATTAAAAATAACTCAAATTTGATATAATTTGACATTATGAGTTCAACAGTATAGATTTTCGTGCCTCATACGATTTGTATTGTAGTACGACGAGATACTATTAAAGACCGTCGGTCCTGGGCAAATTTTCGTGGCTATAATTAACGGCCTCGAGGGCCCGGGGATAATTTTGAAGAACGATGAGACGTTACTGACAATTAATAAAAATTTGATTATTAACTATATAAATATTGATAATATAAATATCTCGATAATACGTTATTAAATTCGTGATTTTTTATTATATAAATGCTGTATAAATAAGTATGTATACTTTTAATCTTGTATATTGACGAAAAATTACACTTTTTTCTCTGCAGTTATCATCTGTATTGATAATCAAACTCGGATGGTAACATTCAAATCACAGTTTTAAATAAAAATCGAATATTATTAAGTTTTAAACATATGTACATGTCTACGAAACTAATAAATCATGAAATTAGTACCATATTACTAATTTTGGACTCTTAATTACTTATATAAATTGTAACAGGCACGCGAACTTCCACAAGCGCCGAGACCGTCTTTAATCTTTAATAGTATTTCGTCGGCGATTGTAGATTGCTCGTCATTCAGCTTTCTATTCCGGATTATTCTTACGGTAGCGGCGCGCTTCCCATGTGGTTTTACTTGATGATTAAATGTTATATATGTATCGCAGGTGTCGCGCACGGTCTTAGATGTTACAAATGTGGACAGTACAACGAGGGAGTTGGCAGCATTACACCGTGCATTAATGCCACCGCACACATGCTGATGGAATGCCCATCCTCGGACGAATGGTGTATCGTAAGTATAAATTATTTTTCCATTTAATTCGCTGAAAAAACGACGTGAAATATTTTGTAGACTGTGATTGCGATCGCCAACGTAATTTTATAGAACGCTGCCAAGTATTGTCGGAAGAAAATAAAAAAGAAAATAAAATTATTTTATATATGGGTCTCTTACATTCAATATTGTAGCGTTGCTGGAAACACTTGCACAGCTGGAAACGGAAAAGCTCGCCGAATTCGAATATTCCGTGAAAAGATAAATATTTCTTTCGCGGAAATAAGCGCCAATACGGCGCCAAAGATCACTTGACACTCTTCCAGAGTCGCCTATAACGACGTTATTTACCTCTCAGCAGACTCCCCGATGTCGGATTTATGAGATGAGTCCGCACAAATTGGTTCGAGAGTCTTTTGCAAGCTTGCACATCCATTCGCTAGAATACCTTCCGGCTTCTCTTCGGTTACCGTGAAGAAGCTCGGTATATATTGTCATGCTATCGAAGGAATTTTTTTAATTTAGAAAAGTAACTCGCGTTCCACATGGGAAATACTTGCGATAGAGTTATAAATATTTGAAGAATTTTTTCCCCGTCATATAACTACACTGTTAAATCTAATAAAGTGACTCAAATTTAACTAATTACTCCTACATAATATATCGTTATTTTATAGTAAAACAATGAAGTTAACGATTTAAAGCAGTTCAAATATTATTATAATGTCAAATTTAATCAATCACTGGCTGTGATGCATAGACAAATTCTTCTCTCATCTTGAAGTAAAACTGCATCATTAAATGTTTCGATCCTTCTCACTCATCACGCAACAGAGAGAACAATGTCTACTCGAAATGGAAACAAAGCTGTATTCTCTGTTCGATAATACATAACTTTGCGTTGTAATTTGTTCAGAAAAACCGCATGTTTCTCTTTCTAGTGTCCATTCATTAACTTGAATATTTTATTATACGTTTTCAAAGCAAATATGAGGAGAGAAAAATATTTCCGTCACATCGATAAGTAAAATCATCGATAAGTAAAAAGGTGAAAACGAGGAATAAACTCGAGGAATTTATTTGAATGAGGACGACTTATATTACTTCGCGATTTGAATATGAGGATCAATGGCCTATGTATGTACGTTTAGAACGCAAATGAGATTTCTGAGTATAATAAAATCTCCTGAAATCTTTTGGAATTTGCTTCGAATGTTCTACGGAATTGGGAAGTGAAGTGGAGTAGAGGTCGATGATGGTCTGTCTGTGTCTGCGATAATAGGAAATGATTGGAAACTCGTCTCGTTTCAGAGTAAAACGGCATGGAACCATTTTCTCGCGGCTCTATGAATCTCAAAGTTTACATCCATCGTCTTAATAAAGCGGTACGATTTAATCAGCATAACGATAGAGAATCCTCTTGTTGCTTTGTCGGGAGCTAAGTAAGACGACGTTCATCCGCGATGAATCCCTTCTTCTTTAGCGTTTCTTCATCCGCTTTTTTAGTCTTCTCTTTCTATTTCTTATTATTCCGTTTTGAGATTTAGTGTGCTGGCATAAAAGCTCGAGTACTGAATCCACGAACAGTATAACACGGAGCTCAAAAAATTGACCAATAACGACTTAAGTTGTCTTTCATCTCGTTTTAATAGAATGAAAAAGAAAGAGTTATTAGAGAGTTAACAAGGCGGATCAACGAGATTTGATATTTATTTATACAGTATAATTATTTTATATTTTTTTATTTATTATATCTCGCAAATAATAATTATAAGGTTTTCTTTAGCACTAATTGAATGCGTGTGTATGTATGTTACGCAATCAAGAGCTCGAATTATTACGAGACGTCACAACCATTCCCGATATCTAAGTGATTAGTCTTATGCCTGAGACACAATTAAAAAGTATAGGAATAACTAGAGTTTAACATACTGTGTTCTGATATAGGCACAGTTTTTGATAGATTGAAATCTTTTATTCCGTATTCCTGTTGCCTATGCTTTTCAATTGTATCAAGCTTTAGTCTCTTCCCTTTTGATCCCGCTGTTGTATAAGCTTTCACTCTTCCCAAAGGAATAATAAAGCAAAGGAGGGTGCAAAAATAACATGATCTATGTTATTGTGTTTGATCATAACCCGACAAGAAACGTTGATCGTCGGTTTCGTGATGGCTGACGTTTCGTCGATTATTTTTCGGTGAAACTGAATTCAAGAGTTCCGCCAGGCGAGGAGCCATCGGTAATTAAATGCTTTCCGTGCACGCGATAGCGGCCTTCGAAGTCTCTTCGATTTCGATGTAGCCGACAATCCCCGGCGGCCGAACGGAGTTCGATGCCTCCGGGCCGTTGAGATGCATTCAATGCAGGCACTGCATTATTACGCTCACGCTCATGTCGCTCCCCCTTAGTTCCCCGCTGGGCATTCCGATTTGGCCTTCAAATTAGTGCCAGTTGCATATGTCATGTCGTATTAATTAACATTTAGCTGCGTTATCGACTGTGACAGACCTCGTCTATACGGCTCTGTTGTAGGAGTATCCCCCCCCCCCTCTCTCTTTCTCTCTTTTGTTTTATTTTATGTTATATTATTATATTATATTATATTTTTTTTATATTTTATATTAGTTTCTTTTTATTATATTGTTTGAAATTGTTGTAATTTCAAAATAATTGTTATTGCTCCTTATTTGTTTGTTCTATTTTCTTTATATATGTATTTTTATTTATTTATTTTGTTTGGATCCATTGCTACTTTTATTTGTTTTTTTTTTATGTTTTTAAAGGACTTATTCCTAGAATGTTATAATAAACGCTTTATCTATCTATCTATCTACCTATCCATTTATCTGTCTCTCTCTCTCTCTCTCTCTCTCTCTCTCTCTCTCTCATTTTTTCTCTCGAAAATCCACGATATCAGTAACGATTTGGTGGATGAAACTTGGTACGTTTAATGTTTTGAATTCGATCCAATTATTTGATCCATTACGTCGATAAAAACCGATCATCGTCCAGCGTCCCATTAACGCGCAATGGATGTGTAATTATCTTGAATTGAGTTAAAATGGGAGTACATGGATTAAAATTTAAAATTCGTGTTGTAAAAGCAAACCATCATAATGATTGTCATATTTAAATAACAGTTTTTCTGCTGATTATCTAATGAAGTAAACAAATGCTACTCTGAAGCTTCAATGGGCAAATTTAGTTTGCTCAACGCGTTTATCTAAAAATAGAGATGTTTAAAATGCATTGATAACTATTCATTTGTTTTTATAAAACAATTAAATAAAATAACAAGAGATATTTTTTATGAAATTCATTTAATGGTTCATCATAGTCTTTAGTGTTTAAAGTTCTTAATGAAAGTTTTAATAATATTTGAGATTGTATGTGTGCGATATTTCTTGTGACATTCTTGCTAATAAAAATTGTTTTATTATGATGAAGAAAAATTGTTGGAGGATTTTTAAAAAATTCTATTTCACAGTTTTACGAAGAAGCCGCGTTAGTTATTAACTCCTCTCCTGAGCTTGGTGATGTCATTTTCGTCGTAAAAATAATCTTCTTTTAAATAACGAAGGACATTCGCGTTTGCACAGTCATCGTTACTTATTAATGATGAATATACTTTTCACGTTGCAGAGGCATGTACTATTATGAGACTATTATTTATTTTATATGAGAAGCCTTGATGTGAAATACCTGAGTGTTATGATCGTTCTTATGATCAACTTTTTATCGCGGCCGTTTCTATAATAAATATGATAAAATGAGTATGTCTCGATAAAATTATTTTTGTACTGTCAAGCTTACTCAGTAACATAAACCTCCTATTCATTTTCCACTTCAGATTAAAAATACAAGCGTCCCGCATTCGATTTGTTTCATTGATAGAACAATCTAAAAGAGTCAGCAGTTTCTACGTCTTCATGATTGTGCGACTTTCTTCTTGCAAAAGAGTCCGCAACAATATTTCTATTTTATTCGGATTTTCTGTTTCAAAGATACTCACGCCCCAGAGCATTGACGAAAGTACCACAGATAAATTTGAGGATATGGAAAACGCGAGAAAGAATACGGGAATTCACTGGTTGGCTTTGCCACCGAAATCGGATGGCTGCTCTCTTTATCTGTCGTTCGATGGCACACTTTTTTTTCTCGCGCATTATCCGACATGTTCGTCTCGCATCTGCATAGAGATTGGATAGCGGTGGTGTATTTCAGTTTGAGGGTGCGAAAGTTTAATATTCGTCCACCGGCGAAAATCGCGCGGGATCGAATGAAACGAACGATACAAAGTTAACGGAAAGTTGCGTAAGCAATTTTTCGTTCTCGACGACATTATAAATAAAGCATTATCTCTTTTTGTCCTTGAACCAGAAGCGCCAGAGAAAGATCGCAAAAAGATCCCAGGGTGAATTTACGATCTGATTTAACCCTTACCCTACTAGGTACAATTTGGTGCCTCATCCATACTAACGGGGGCATTAGAATCCATCCGTTTTTTTCACCTATTCAGAACGATTAAAAAAATCTCTAAAAATTCACCAATATACTTTCAACTTTCTAGAATAAATATTGGCATTTTATTTTTGGAAAATAATAAAATGTAGTACAATTTATAATTACCGCAAAGAAACTTGAACGAACAGGAAATCGCTCGATAACTAGTCCCCTTAGTAGGGTAAGGGTTAAAAGTCATGATCGTTTACGATCATCTTCTTTATCACGGTAATTGCCGGATTTTTGTATTGGCGTAATATTATACTAGAGCCGGGTTGATAAATGCCGAGCATTGCATTTCTTTCTGATGAATTTGTATAAACGTTCAAAATTTACAAATGGAAAAAATCGTATACATTATTTCTTTTTTAAATGATTTGCGAGATTAATTGTTACGCTCCGTAAAAAATTTGGGAAGATTTTTCTATCAATGATACGTGTACGTGCCGAATCATTAATCTATAATAGTATCTTTATACTATTCAATTAAGCCGCCGAATAGTGCTGTTGTTCGAA